AACCAAGAAGGATTTAAGAAAAATCTTCTTGTCCTTATAGACACTGGAGCAGATAAAAGTCATGTAAATGCCAAGTTTGTTAATCATCTAATAGACTTTGAAATACCAGAACCATATATATTTAAGGATTATTTAGGAAATAATCTTGAAATAAGAAAATATGTTAAATTTCCCCTTATACTTGTAGGAGAGGATCAGAAAGAATATACTAAAGAAATAATTCTATATAAAGATGAATTATATGGAGTGGATCGTTCACCTATTCTACTAGAAATGAACTTTCTTGAGAAATATAGTCCTTATAAAATCTGCCAAGGATATTTGAAAATAACAGTTGACGATAATCCAATTATCATTCCAAGAATAGATGAAAATATGAAATCATTGTTATCATGGAAAGAGTAATAAGCACTAATCCCATGAGCCCATAAATTGAAATTACACTCAATATAAAAAATCATTGTAGAATTAAATTTCATGCTTACTTAGATACAGGAAGTACAATAAGCTTATACTTACCAAATATACTGCCATCTGAATACTCGAAATATAATTCAAAGAAAGTAGTAACTGCTACAACATCAGGTGGAAATAAGGTAATATACAATAAGTATGCTAATCAAGTACCTTTTCTAATCTCCTTTAGAGAAGTATTTGTTGATACAATATATATGTCAACCACAATTGGATGTGATATTTTATTAGGACAAAATTTCCTATTAAAATATGCACCATTTACACAGTATATTGATAAATATATGTTCACAACAAATTGTGCACATAGGATATTTACACAAAAAATAAATAAGGCTGTTACAGTTGCATATAGAAAAATAAACCATCAGAGTTTTTCAACCCAGCGTGGTGGATGTTGGAGTACAGAAAAATTTAAACCAATTATAGTCTTAAAAATGACAACAGAAAATAGGTTAGAAAAATTGAAAAAAGAAATTTCTGAAACATATTCTGAAAATCCATTAGAAAAATGGAATATTGTAAAGTAAAGGCAAAAATAGAATTAACCAATCCAAATACTATTGTTAGAGTTAAACCTATGAAATATAGTGTTGATGATCAAAAAGAATTTAAAAATCAGATAAAAGAATTGTTAGAAGCTAAACTAATTAGGCCAAGTAAAAGCCCATATAGCAGCCCAGCCTTTATGGTTAGAAAATATAGTGAGATAAAAAGAGGAAAAGCCAGAATGGTGATAAACTACAAAAAATTAAATGAAGTTACCAAGTTTGATGGATACTACTTGCCAAATAAGGATACCCTTATTAAATAAGTACAGAACAAAAAGATATTTTCAAAATTTGATTGTAAGTCAGGGTTTTGGCAAATCATGTTTACAGAAGAAAGTAAACCACTAACTGCATTTAGTACCCCCAATCCTTTAGGACAATACGAATGGAATGTAATGCCATTTGGGTTGAAAAATGCACCACAGGTATTTCAGAGAAGAATGGATGAGGTAATCAAACTAATTACTCATTTTTGTATTGCATATGTAGATGATTTACTTATTCATTCAAATAATATTAATGAACATATTGAGCATCTTGAGAAATTCTGTTATATTATGAAAAAACATGGTATTACACTTTCTCAAAAGAAAGCTGAGATAGCTAAGTTTCCTTAGTATATTGAATTATGCTGAAGGATTCATTGAAAATTGTGCTAAATTGAAAAATTATTTTCTTCCAAAATTAAGAAAAAATATAATGTGGTCTTGGGAAGAAAAAGATTGTGAAAATATAAGGAAAGTTAAAGAAGAATTGAAGGTATTGCCCAAACTTGTAATACCCCAAGAAGAAGATTTTTTAATCCCGGAAACTGATGCTTCAGATTATTATTGGGGAGCAGTGTTAAAAGTTAAAAAGAATCATAAAGAATATAAATGTGAAAAAGATTGTTCTTGCTCTGAGATACTTGTAGGTTATACATCAGGGACATTCAAAGAAGTAGAAACAAGATATGAGACGAACATAAAAGAACTCATTGCTGTAAAAAGAGGAGTTCAGAAATATGAAGATTATTTATTGCCAAAGAAATTCTTAATTAGAACTGATAATACTCAAGTTAAAGCATTTTTAAAGAATAATGTCGATCCATCTATCAATAATAGATATATTATTAGGATACAAATTTTGTTTTCATATTTCAAATTTGACATTGAATACATAAAAGGTAAAACTAACTTTCTTCCTGATTATCTTAGCAGGAATGGAGCTAGAACAACTAAGGACGAAAGTCCAGATACTTGAAATAAAAGTTTCCTATTTGGAAACCCAAATTCAAAATATCCAAGATAGCCTTCGAGGCAATAATTTAGCCTATGAGGCAGAAGATACTTGTACCAAGCCTAGTATCCCTTCGCAGGGACTTGTGAATACTAGCACTCTTCCCGAGGATAAAGGGAAAGAAAAGAAGGTAATAGGAACCCCTTCACAGGGAATAATTAAACCTATTACTGGTAATAAAGATATTTAAGATATCAAAAGAGAAGGTAGCTTTTCACAGAGCCAAACCCAATCTAAACTTTCTATTGAAAGGATAGATCCCAAAGATATTGTCAAGATATGCCATGAAGCAAAAATGCCCAAAAAAGATAACCATGAAGAAGTAACACTCTTTATTGTTATTTTTAATATTTTATCAGATTAGTATCTGGAGATTGGAAAGTGGATGAAGACTCTCCACTATTCGAAATACAACAAGATAAACTTTTATCCAGGAGTACCAGCCAACTGGGTTCGAAATTGCTTTGAAATAGGAAATATACTTTGTATATATCCTAGTAAAGATCTCAAGGAGATAGCTCAGCTTCCAGCCAACATTAGGAAAGCTGTTAAAAGATATACTGAAATTGTTAAAACAACAAATATATATATCAGATTCCATTCAGCAACAATGGAATGGGATCCTGTCCTTGAATATATGCATCCATCGTTCCATGTGATCAAAATGGGACTTACAAATCAACATTTTTTACCAGCCAATCAAAATGTTGTTAAAAATAGATATCAAGATATTCTTAATATGATGCCCTATAGAAGAGTAAAAGGGTATAAAGAAATATTTGAACATGTAACTCAGATAATTACTGAGAAAGAAAAAATATGGGTTTATCATCTGAAGATCATATTATCTATTACAATGCAAGGATGGATACCAAAGAGGAAGATATTTGTTATCTCGACCATCTATTATCAGCAATCATATCCAACCAAGTAAATGGATCGGAAGATATGGCTAAAGAATTATGCAAAATACTTTAGAATTACAGTAATCATCATTGTGAATACTGTGTTGTTGAAGATATGAGTCAAGCATCCCTTAATGATGAAGAATTCCCTGCAGAAATCTTTGATTCAAAAACGGAGAAGTGATGGTAACTAAAGTAGCCCTTTATCACTACTTTAATAAAGAAATTTATTAAATAAAAACTGTGGCTACTAGAAGACAGAAAATAATGCAAGAAAAGTCTTTGGTCACAAGTGGCAGACAAAGATGAAAGATAAGGCATCAAATTTCAAGATAAGAGGTCCACCCAACAAAAAGACAATGAAGAATTCGGTGGAGATAAGATGGACCAGCTACCCAACAAAGAAAGGTGGAAAACACCTGTCCAAGATAAGATTCCAAAATCGTCTATAAAAGGAGACATGAAGGAATGAGGAAGATATCTCAAAAAATCTATCTCTATTCTCTGAAAACACATTAGAGAAAAATTCTTTGTAATCTGTATGCACCACTCGTATTCATAAAAATATATTAGATAGCTTGAAGATAGGAAATCGTGTAATAAGGTAATCACTTATGGAGTTTTAAACTTCATAAGGTGAGTACCAAAGGTATGTAAATATAGTTTGTAAGCATGTACAATTTCAGTTTATGAATATCAAAGTAAAGTTTGTTATGTTCAACAAAGCTTTCATAAAAGGATTTCGTTAAGTTTCTCATGACTCCTCGGCAGTACAGATAAAGATTTTAAAAGATTTTCAAAACATTGATTTTGAATGGATGTTAGCCATGCTAAAGTACACGTCTTTGATAAATGGTTTAGGGGAAAAGGGCAGTTTTCTAACAAAAATTTGTAGCACCTTGTGTGTGAGTTATCTTTTAAAATTTCGTTCCAAGTAGGAACTTGATTCTGAAAAGAGTTTGGATAGAGGTGAAAACAGAGACTCTGGATACTGTGAGATAGCGTCTGTGGAAACACGGCTAGTTCTCTAGAATGAGAAGTGCAACCTTAATTGAAAAGCCTTTTGCGGAAGCAGTTGTGGACCCAAATGATTTCAAAAACATTTTAAATCTTTACTTGATTCAGAAGGTTGATTAAGTGCATGCAAAGCATCTATAAGAACATACTGGAGGGAAAGCCTGTTTATTTCCAATTGATTACTGTAAGTTATTTACTTATTTTTACATGCTTATGTTTTAATTATCTACATGAACAATTCACAAGTATCTACTTCAAATATTAATAATGATAATAATCTTATTTTATTTTTAGATAAAAAAGATGTTTCTTTTCTGCTTAAAATAGATGTAAAATCTGATGTTATATTCCCTATTGGTAAAGAAAAGATTGAAGAAATATATAGAGATATAGATTATAGTTGTAAGAATAATATAGGATTTGATTCTGTGAGAACTCATAACGAAATACGAAAAGTAAAAGATATTATAATTAGACATAGAAATATACAAGAAGAAATTTCAGAAGGCTTATTTAAAGGATACATAACTAAAAAAGGACAATCTATAATTTTTGAAGAACTTTTAATATATAGAGAATATTTAAAAGTGCTTGAAAGGCTGAAAAATATAGATATAGGACCTGATTGATAAGACCTTAAAAGATAAAGAATATATCTCATAAATAACCTTAATAAGAGTAAAATAGTACTTTTAACAAATTAAGCTGTTGTGTAAAATTGGAATAATTTCCCAGCCATTCTCAAAATTATCCCTGTAGCCAGGGGGAAGACTTTTGAGAGAGAGAGAGGGAGGGAGGGAGGGAGAGAGAGACCAGAGATTTGAATAGCCAAAAATGAAGCCGGTGGTGGGTATGGTGATAAGGAATAAGATGCAGAAATCGGTGGTGGTGGCTGTGGATCGCCTCTTCTACCACAAAGTTTACAACCGCTACGTTACGCGCACCTCCAAATTCATGGCCCATGACGAGCAAAACCGATGCAACCTTGGCGACCGTGTCCGTACTCTCGCTCTCTATATATGTATACGTGTTTGTGGGAAAATATATTTTTGCGTGCTATAGGTTTAATCTTGTTATTTGATTGGTTGTGAATTGAGATTGCAGGTAAAGTTGGAACCTACGAGGCCGCTGAGCAAGCGGAAGCATTGGATTGTCGTTGACATTCTTAAGAAGTACAAAATTTATCCGCCCACGGCCCACGGGGACGGAAGTGTCTAAACTCAAGATTTAAGCACGGAAGAGGTTAATTTCTATCTATTGTTTTTTCTCATATTGTTTTAATTTCTTGTTGATTAAATAAAAGTGGAAGAGGTTAGATTCCAACTGAAATGTGTTTTATACTTTTTTGTTTAATTAATTATCGATGAGATGCACGGGAAGCTGTTAAGTTATCATGACTATCGCAGGGGTTAAAGAAAATTGAGGGGAAAAGGAATTGATAATATGGGATAAAATTTGAATTCCTTGAGAAGCCAATCGTATTTACATAAATCAAACTGTGGAGTTGCACTATGTATTTGTAATTTAATTGTTCATTGACGCTATGCAAGCAAAAGTGGTTGAGATTGTTTCCTGGTCATGGAAAATTAAAGAAGGAAAAAACCGCTTATGCTAATCACACCATAAAGAACTGGATAATGAATTCAAAGAAGATAATCACATTGCTAATGGTAACACTTCAAGGGAGGATAATTCCAAGGTTTTGTGCATTTTTCCCCCACAATCGGGACACTCCCTTCACCACCCCATTGGAATGGTCTTGCATTATTACATGAAGAAATTGGTTTCCATTTGAACTGAGTTACTCTACAAAATGCTTGTCCTAATAAGTGAAGTTGATTCATTTTTATGTACCATTATTGCCAACCCATTTGCATGCTTTTAAGTAATTAGATGTCTCTGAGAGAGCTTTGTGTTGTTGGTTAGAGCAATCAGCTATAGAGAATGGTGCGCATGCATATACCCTCCCATTTTTGGGGTCAGTATGTATGATGGGCATGAACATCCCCTCCCATTTTGGGGTCAGTATGTATTGATTGAACTCAACTAGATGAAGCATATAACTGTATCTGTTGTCAAATTTGTTGAGCTCACACACTGACGTGTTATGTACTATGTTAAGGTGTCTGAAGGCTTGATAATATTAGTATTGCACGAAGCATGGGATGTTGAAAGGTGTAATGAATTGAGAAGATAGTTTTCTACAATTTCAGATCATATATCGAACCAACAAATCTTTAAATGCCATCGGCCCCTGTCTATCACCTAGAATTATGTAAATATACACCATTATAATCACCCTCTTGAAAAATCTCTCCCCCCTTCCTGAATGTTTGAAAGAAAGGCGATCAAAGCTATGTGTGGAACATCCGTTGGTCTATTCTTCAATTTATTAATTAATGGCCAATAGGCCTTTCAAAATGGTCACAATTTGTTGAAGTCAGTACCAATACATGAGTCCTGCTTTCAAATATAGAATACCTGTTTCCTTTCCTAGGGTCCTCCACTGTTGCCTTCATTTGTTTTTTAGGCCAGCCTTCCATTTGTTGTTGATATCATTACAATGTTCTAGAGGATCAGAATGTTGGTCACCGTTGATAGACATCGCTGCCATTGGAAAGATTTTTGTTGTTTAGCTCCTATAGTTGAATTCTCAAGGGGAAAGGTAATGGAGCATGGTGATGAAATTGGCATTGGAAACATGCTGAAGATATACATTTATTTTGGGCAAAAAATTAAGAAATATATTAGGAATTTTATTCCTTGTATTTGGTTTATTTTACTAAGTATAGGAATAAGTTTGGAAATTCCCATTTTTTGTTTAGGAAACTTCTCATTTGTACTAGAGATTTTAAATACTGATAAAATTATTCATTCTAAATAATGAAGACTACACGGTTGTGATATTGAAAATTCTCCCTAATTTCCAATTCTTCTTATTCTTCTTTGCCCTCTCTATCTATCTGTTCTTTGTCTATCACATTCTGCATCTGCTAGGCCTTTTCTTCTCTTATTCTTTTTCAACGTTTACCATTTATTTTTGGAAAAATTACAGCAGCGATCCCTAACCTTTTTGTTTTTTGTAGACTTTACTCCAACTTTCATTTTGTACCAGCGAAAGTCGCCAACCTTTCATAAATATGCACCTGTGGTCCATCTGGACGGAAACCGTCCGAAATACTGTCAGTTGATTGGGGAAATCCTTGAACTATCTGCTATCGCGACGGTTTTATTGGATGTTGATACTTTTTTGGACGGTGTTCTTGGATTTTGATTCCTTAATTTTCCCAATCAATTAACGGTGTTTTGGATGGTTTCCATCCAGATGGACCTCAGGTGCATATTTATGAAAGATTAGAAACTTCCGCTGGTACAAAATGAAGGTTAGGGTAAATTCTGCATAAAAATGAAAAGGTTAGGGATTGCTGTTGCAATTTTCCCTTTAACTTTTTCCTTGATTAAGTTTTTGATGATTGGAGAAACCGTTTGTAGTGTTTCTTTCTCTTTCTCATTGTCGTGCTTAGTCCATTTGATTTAAATTTTTTGAGAGATTTCTTCAAAATAAATACCCAGCTCCCTTGTCTCCTTTTTCTTTGGCGCTTGATTTGACAGGAGTCAGGATGGTAGAAAGTGGATTGTTACCGTGATATTTGGTTATATTGTCATTTGAGAGTTTTGATTAATTGAAAGAAATGTTACATGGTCACCACCATGAAAATTATTGTGATTATGAATCAGTTGATCAAGGCTGCAAGTGAGAAGTTCTCTAAATTATCATCGTAGGAAGTGTATAAAATTAAAATATGTAACCTCCAACTAAGGTGCAAAAGATGTGTAATACATAATATAGTAATTATGATTGGCCTTTTAGTTACAAGCCTTCTGAGAGTTGATTAAATTGACTTGTCTGTGGAAATTTGTTGGCGAAGGCCATTGATAAATGATCAGACTTCTGATGAATTGGTCCAAAACTAATGGATGGTAACTACTATCTGGAACCTGTCTCATTAGATTTTGGGGAAATTTGCCTATTTCCTCCACAACCTTTCAAAAAAGGCTGAGGTATGCCCCCGACCAATTTTACTGTCACCACTCATCCCCGACCTTTCAATTAATTAGTAGAATTGGTCCTTCCTCTTTGTCCGTTAGTCATGTAAAATGACAAAATTGCCCTCATATTCAAATGAACATAAAGGAAAAAATTAAATTGCTATGCATATCGGAAGACATAAAAAAATTTTAAAAAATCTGTGTATCTTTAATCCCACCAGACCGTCACCACTGCTGCTGGTACCTTCTTGCTATCTCTTTTACAAGAGGCGACTTCTCTCGCTAACCTAAAATTGCAAGTGGTTTGAGTCACTACGAAAGATTAACATTAAAGGGAATTAAATTCCTTTTTGTCAAAAGCCCAAAAGAGAACAATGGTTTTAATTTGGCCCTCAACTTAACAGATTTAACGGATCGACAAAACTTTACCCCTTCTCATCCACAAACTTCCCAACCTCATGAACTAGACAGGCTGACATGCCGTCACTAAAGCTACCACCAATAAAAACACCGTGGCTGCAGACAACATTAATTTGAGCTTCACAATCAAGATATTATGGAAAACAAGAAGGCTAAGAATTTCAGTACATACCCTAAATTCATTGTGGCTGTGAATTTTTAGTTAAGGATTTGAAAAAGAGTAATGCTTAGAATTTCAATAAATGCCCTGAATGGGAATGCCGGTGATTCACCCCCCCCCCCCCCCCCCCCCCCCCCCCCCCCCCCCCCCCCCCCCCCTCCTCCTCCCTCC